CATCATTAGCAGCTTGGGACCAAGGGTGGTCGGTGAGAGAGGGAGGCCAGCTATGTGACGTGAGAGGGATGTAGATGAGCAAGGAGCACCGACTTCAAAACCTGTTCTTATGTACCTTGAGGAGGCTGGACATCGTTTTCTTTTTTGTAACATGCTATAGTCTTGGTAGTAAGGACAACCTCAAGAACGATATGGTCGGGAACAACCAACATATCTGATGTTGATTATATAATTACATTATGATATGATTGATAAAGATATATAGTCTGATATATGCTTTGAGATACTGTATATCCTTTGCACTCACTTAGATGTTTTTCTGATTTTGTTGCAGAATGTTCAGCACCCCAGCAACGAGCCCCCAAAACCCAAAACGATACCCAAAACTGATCCATCTTTGAGCCTGTTGGCAGGCCCACCAGTCCGGGAAGAAATGAACATCACAAAAAGAGACTCCCGGCAAGAGACCCACATGGAACCTGATTTTGTTCACCTTTGGAAGCCTATTTTCCTCTACAACCCAGTGGTTTTAAGGTGCTATGCTAATCTTCCAGGGTGTACCACCATGTTTGATGTCCAAAGTAACTGCATGTTTGCTGCGATACTTCGCTTCGATACACAAGCCTCCACAGTTTGGGCAAAGTACGCTCGGACAAACCAAGAGGCCGCCCCCACTTGGTGAAGGACATACAGAAAGGAGGAGGGGAAGCATTTAGTGAACTTTATTGCACTTGGAGATTTGGATTGAGTACCCTTGTTTCAGGCAACGTTGCAGCTCCAACAGTTCTGCTGAGGTGACCTCTATCTCCGAATGCGGTGGCCTATGAAGGGCAGCAGCCCTGCGAAGGAGTTGGTGAAGCTGCTCGATGAAGAGGCGTGCTACGGAAACGGAACATTGCCTCTTTTTTTTGGGCCGCTCCCCCCCTCCCACCAACTTAATTGAGTAGGCACCTACTTAAATAAGTAAGGGAGAAGCTAGCAGCTTATGTACTTAAGCAGGATAGCTCACGCTTCTTCAAGGAGGGGAAGCTTCCTTGAAGAAGCGCTCGCACAAATGATTTGGTTCCTAGATGTTTAGGGAGGGTACTTGTTGAGGACTTCACGACCAACTCTCTCAATGATCCATCCCGCAGACCCAACCATCTCCCGAACTCAGAAAAGTTGTGAAATCAATTAAGTCTGATTGTGGTCCATCAGTCTCAGGGATTCAGGCATGCGTTTAGCAGTTTCGAGGTGTTTCCGTTCTTGATCGTTCTTGTGTTCTTCCTATTAAAAGACATGTCGTTGGTCAAATTGTAAGCGGAAAAGCCTCGCGCAGAATGTCGTCAAAAGGCGGGAACGGTTGGGAAACAGGTTCGTCAAAAGGTCGTTTTTTTTGTTCGACCCGAAGACTCTACTGTTTGGAGGCCGTTGGAGGCATGAGAGTCTTCTCAAGGTGAGTCTTGCGGTTTGGCAGAAGAAGCACCTAACAATTTGAAGAAGGGGGTGAACCTGTGGTTTTGTGGTCTATTCCAAACAGTGGAAGCCTGATATTCGAGAAAACGACAAGTCTCGACTTGTCAAAAAGAGGAAAGCCACAAAAGCACGGCAAAGAGCAACTGAATCGATGCCAATTGGCAACACCGACAAGCAAAGCCATCAAACCACACTTGTTTCAAGCAGGCGCACGCACACACACACACACACCAGCTCAAACCAAGAAGTCAAGAACAAGCAAGGAAATGCAGATGGGCTTCATCCCAAAAGCCTGTTTTTTTTCCATGTTTTACCTAGGGTGATGTCTATTTTCCAGGGTCAATCCCCTAAAACGGACGGATATATGTGTGTTCCTTTTTCTGTTCCGGCTTCAACAGCAAATCCCAACCGTCCCGTCGACCACGACCTGAGGCCTTCGTGCGGCATGTGACGGATGTGACGGCTGAGGCCAGCGAGATGATGCTGCCGGACGCTCAGCTAAGCAGATGCCGGTCGATCCCAGTCCGCCCAGGGGAGGTCTTTTCGGTAAGGGACAACCAATCCAGCATCCTCCAACAGGTCTCCGTGGGAGGGTTGTTAGGCAATAGGAGGTGTCAATTGGTGACCTGTTGGAGGGTGCTGGAAGGGACAACCAATCTTATGTATATAGACTCTTGAGGTACATGACCCCCAATTGAATTGGAACATCCTCTTCATATTGGGGGGTCCATTCATCAAGAGTCCACAGTTGGGTCTTGTAAGCAAATGTCTGAGATCTCCCCCAAAAGAATGTGTGTTTGTAGGTGTATAGTGTATACTGTAACTGCACCCCTGGGACTATTGTTGGCCATATCCTAAATGTAAACTATTGGAAGATTGGACAGGAATTGTTGTCCCGGACAGCTTTTTGTGGAACACATTATTTTGTGCAACTTGAACGTAATTGGAACGCAATCTGAACACAAGTTGAATGCAATTCGGAGATGGTTTATGGAAAGGGAAGCGAAAAACCGTTCAGGCGTCAACAAAGGACATAGACTTCCGATGAGGAACGTGAAAATGGTTGAAAACTTTTTGAACACTCTAAAGAAAATCAACTTTTTGGGATTTGGACTAGATTTGGACCACAATGTTTGGACCAACTACGTTTTTTGCCGGCGAGGCGAACGTCAGTCGGGTGAGGGAGGACCCTCGAAAGATATCCTAAGATCCACGGATTCCCTAATATATATAGCTTTTATATGCTGGCTTCTATCTTCCCCTACCAGGTTACCAGTGGTACTTTGGGCAAGTGCCTCCTCCCCTCCTGGTTTGGAGGTCCGCTTGCCACAGTCAAGCAACACTACCATGAACAACGCGAATCTCCTTCGGGATTTGAGTTTCCCCAGAACGATGTCAAGATCCTTTTGATACGCAGTCAGTGGACAACCTTTCACCTTCTTGAGGGATTGGTTTTGGTGAAACGTTCGGTGAACAGCTCTTTTCGAGCAACGCGGCTCAGGGGAAACATGTGGAAAACAGACACGGACCACGCCGGCCGTTTGTGTTTTGCAGATCCACAGACATCAGCTATATATAGGTCATTCCAGTGGATTGACCAAGCACATCCAAGGACCAGATTTGAATTCACCAGGTCATTCTGTTGGATTTCCAATATATTCACCAAGGACGAATGGGAATTTGCCCTTCGTCCCTGCCATTTTCTGATGGATCAGATCTGGTGGTCGGACTCGCGTGTGCACCGCTGGTTTGGGAGGAAGGACCACCGGCATGCTGGCTCCTCGGCCTGTCCACTCGAATGGATCCTTCAAAGCATGGTTTGAGGCAGAATTGAAAATTGATGTCGATGTTGAAGGTATGTTACGAATATGTTTGTATTTGTTTGGTGGCGAGAAATGGATACGTCAAAATCAGTCGCATACCCCATGAACTGACCATGACTTAAATTTTGGGTGGATGACCGATAAATGTGCCGATCAGTCCAATTAATCAATATTATAGATCAGTCGTTGACAAATCTCTATACCACTCAGGAGACATCCCAAGTTTGTGCAAATCAACTCAGTAACTGGTGGTATCGATCATGGACCGTGAGCTTTCGTGGAAACAGCGTGAAACGCGCTTTCTGATTATGCTGCAGATTCTGTTCATTCTTTACATCACAAGCCCTCAGAGGATCAGAAGCGGAATTGCTTCACTTGATTCAGGATATTTCCTTGGTACTGGTATGATCCCATACACTCAGTGTATACCATATTTGCCTACATTGACTCCCCAAACCACCCCAACTGCTCGGCATATATACCATACATGGAGCATCTGGGCATGATGATCAAAGACAAAAGAAACTCTTTCGCCACTCGTTCGCCACTCTCGGCACCGAGGCCTCTCGCAGTTCTCGCAGATGTTGGAGCAGCGGCCCTACTTGCAGAGCGGGCCTTTGCTGCCACGACGTCCAGCACCTGTGGAAGGCCTAAGCTTGCGCAGGGGGCAAGAGTCAGTGCCTTGGTACACGTGGTGACCTCAAGGTGACCTCAAACTTTGGCAAAACCCTTGCAACAACCTGTATGACATGCACTGAATTTATTTGGTGGATGCACACACAAGAGTTGAACCACCCAAAACAAAACTAAGCATCGAAGGGCAAACATCCTCGAATTGTGGTAGATTGGCATCTCAAGCATACTCTTGTGGTGCTCTCACGACTTTCACCGGTGAGTGTTGACCCAGAAAAGAGGGGATTGTCACCGTGGATCAACCGAGGGTGTCGTAAAAATATTAGTGGCTGGTGGCCGTGCACTGCGGATCCTTGGCGCCTCAGGTGTTTATGACGTGGGACAAGCATGAAGTCTGGGTCTATGGATGTTACGTGGACTGAGCCACGCTGTGGATCTCTAAGACCACGGGGAAGACCGCACACAGCGCGCTTGCGCTTTTGATGCGCTGCTCCGCACGGCGATGTTGCGGCAGATGGAGCGATGTTGCGGCTGATCATGTCGTTGATTTGTCGTTGCCTGGATGGTGGCCGCGGTGGCCACGTCACGTAGAATCAGTCTCACACCCGTAGTGGCTCGGATCGGACAGCCTCGCGGTGCTTTCCATGGGAAACCGTGACCTTATTGGGTCACCGTGATCCCAACGAAGAGGCGGCGCAACTCGAAAGCTCCGGGCGGTGGAAGCTCCGGGAGGGGTGCGATCGGAGGGATGTGTGCTCCAGCGATCGGGGGGTTGTGGTGTGCCGGTCATCAAGGTGCAAAATGGGTGGTCCTTGAAGATGGACGACCATAAGAGAAGCCTCCATAAATATGGAGAGAAAGAGAGAGACAGAGAGACTCCTGTAAGTTGAGTTGACAACCTACCAGCCTCATTCCTGTAACATGCCTGTAACCCAGTGGTAGAGAGGATCAAAAACACCTCCAGGTCACCACAAAAAAAGGCTTTGTTTTCAACAAAAATTGAAACAAAAACTCTTTTGTTGACCTGGAACACCCACCATCTCCACTCGCCACCGCCCATGGTGGGCGTGTCGCCGGCACGGCGGCCAGGTCTTGGCCTTGGTCGGCGCCCGACCGGTACCCGACTCCCTGGGCCGCGTCAACAAGGCGCGGGCCAGTGCGCGGGCTAAGTGCGCGGGCGGTTGCATCGGTTGAAAGGGAAAAGAGGGCCAAGAAAGAACAGGGAACAGGGCCCCCACCGGGTAATTCTATGCAACAAAAGAACAATAGCAGTGCTGGGATCTCAGATCTCCATCTCTGAGAGAGACACCCCCCGCGCATCGTGGAGGACTTCTCACCACCGATGAGCTATGACTCGGAAAAAAGACAAAAGAGAAGCGTTGACAAGTTACTAAAATTGTTGTTTTTGTTTGCTTTGTTTGTGTGTAGCCCAAACATTGTGTTAGACAAACCTCAACAGTTACTTGTATAGCTGAATTTGATTGTTTTGAGAAAACCACCCTCGGTTAGAACCATGGTTTATAACATGTGAGAGATAGCGTTGGCTACCAGCTTTTCCCCTTGCTTGGTAGCGTTGGAAATTGATGCTGTGTGTAAGCATTGCATTGCAGTTTGCAATAGCATTCTGGAATAGCAGTGGCAACAATGCCATACCGTTACACGAAACCTTGAGTGAAAGCACTGCTGTATAGACATCAGAGACGGAAGTCAAACACAAACTTCGTTTGGCTCAAGTGTGAGAGGAAACTTGTGCGGCAGCCTGGGTCCGATCGCTCGTTGCATCGTATCGTGACTTTTGCTGTACATTGCTCACATTTGGAAGCATATATACACAGATCTAAGAATCTACTGGTTATCAGCCGTAGCAGAGACACCCTGAGCTGCGGGATCGTGTGAACAGAGAGAGACCAGAGAGTGCACTGAGAGTTCAACTCATTGTATCGTAAGTAAGGGGGCGAGTCACAAGGTCCAAGGACATAGTTGTTTGATTGATCAAGAACAAGTACAACTACATCTCTTGCTACCTTGCTCGCGCCTTAGCGCGAATGGACCGATCGCGATCTCCCGCAGCGGCTGCTGATCGATCGCGACCCCGCGAGAGACGGGCTAGGGGCGGTGACCCTTATCGCCCTTCTCAGAGAAAGCGTGAGCGTGTTGGACTTCAGGTGGAGCATCGGACCAGAGGTTCTTCGCCCCCGCCAGAATCGAAATACTACGCTCGTTCAAGGCCAGTTGAACCGTCGGGTCCACCTCCAGATCGTCGGCAACCGCGTGAGCCGGCGCACCCGCCCTCTGTTGAGACATCCTCAAGCCCAAGACGACCTCCAAGATTGCCACACGGGCCACCACCGGGAGTCACAGAAACTGTGTCTCACAGAAGTCTCCCAAGGCGTGTTGTTGTTGAGGAGCGTGAGGAGGCCGAGCACGAGGAGTCGGAGGAGTTTGAGGAAGGAGCAGGATCAGCCCCATCGTCGGGCCCTCCAGTCGCGGACCCGCCGACGCGGGGCGGCTACTGGAAGAAAGCGTGGGTGTGGATTCCGGATCCTGACCCAAGAGATCTTGCCGGGCCCGAGCATTGGAGGCCCGTTGACTCCCCTCCTGAAGTTGTATCGCGTGCTTCTCCATCGGTTGAGCGTGTTGATTGTGAGACGGAGGAGAGAGAGGAGCACTCGCGCGCTGCAGGTCGTGGTGAAGCGTCGGATTTTGTTGAGGTAAAGATCGAGGAGGTAGCCGATTACGACGAGCAGGTCGAGGAGGAACAGGCTGTTCCACCAACAGAGCCAGCCGAGACTGAGGCTGCGCACACACCTGAAGCTACTGAGGAATCGACCCCGGAATCTCGCAGACAGGCTCGAAGAGTGCTGCGCGAAGGGGCGAGACATTTGAGGGAACAGGCCAAAGAGTTGAGGAGTTCTAGGTCAAAGCCATCTTCGACGACGTCACCGCAGGAGGCTTCGCTGTCGCCTCAGACTGAAGCAAGAACTCAGGCAGTTGCAAAATCGAAGGGGCGAAGGGAAGCGGAAGAGGCAACAGAGGCGGATCGAAAGAAGCATAAGCTTGAGGCGTTGCCCCGCCCGCCGTTGCCGCCTGTCAGACCTCGCACTCCGCCTGTTGAACCCAGATCTGCATCAGCTCCACGGCCATCAGGGGCCCCGCTTGCACTTGAAGATCAGGCCGAAGAGAGGCCTCAGCTTACACAACAGGTCCGACCGGTGAGGCTGCAACCGCGACCTAAGGGGTCGCCTGAGGTGCGTGTGCCAACACCCCCAAGACCTCCTTCACCGTTGCCATCTTCATCTGCATCCCACAGGGAACCTCATCGGGAGGTTGAGCGTCCGGCGATCGGGCGTGAGGAAGAGCTGCCACAGCCTCTTGACCCCGCGTACGGAAGTGTTCCTGTGATAGCACTAGATTATCACAAGACATTGAGATTCCCAGGTCAACCGTTGTCGCATAGCAGCATTGCGTGCCTCCGAGAAGCTCGATCCCTCGGGTTCCAGTTGATTGTTGTGTCGTTTGCATCAAATCTCAAGACCCAAAGGGATACATTGGCAGATCTCGCACGGATCGAACAGGAGGCCGACATCGTGTTTGCGGACAAGATCATAACACGCCAGAAGCTGCTGGCGGATGAGTTCCACGGAAGGTCGGTGACAGGGCACTTTCACCCGAAGGCGAAACTTGTAGCATTGACTGGAGCGATCATTTACGTTGACGACCAGCCTCAGATTTTGAGAGAGGTGTTGCAAGTTCAATCGCGTCGTCCGAGAGCTCATCGAACCAGGACCATCCGTGCCGGCAGTACTCCGCAGAACGCATTGGCAGAGTTGTACGATCTCATTCAAGAGTTTGGCAAAGACATGAGATCGGTGCCGGTGCCGGAGGACCTGCGTGACCTTTGAGGAGAACTTGGTGCATTGAGTATCTTGTATCAGTTGAGCATTGTTCATTCATTTTGGTTGAAAGCATTGTCAGTTGTGGATCGCTGGTTGGCTTGACTTCAGTTGGATCGAGTTGCTTCGCGCCTCGCGCGATCGTCGAAAATTCGCTGCCTTTTTGCGCGTGACGAGCATCAAACTCGCGGACCCAGCTCCGCGTGCAGCAACAAAAGTGCGATTCGCGTTGGTGAGCTTTCCTTTGAGAGTAAGAGTTGTGTTTTCTTGTGCATTCTTGCGTTGTTGAACATTGCTTCGTTGATTGAGAGAAGATTCATAGAACTTGCATTGAAGAGTTGATTGTCGTCGAAGTTGAATGAAGAGAATCACTCCAGCCACACCTTTCAGGGTCATTGGCCCGGGGGATAGCGCTTACACCACGTCATCTTCATCTCCGCCCCAGGATTCGCCCGACAAGAGCATGGAGAATCCAGACCAGTCGAGTTCAAGCAACTTGGCATTGCCGGAAGGACAGATGGTTCGAAAGGGACGGGGTCGGTCCAGTGCTATCCCTGTGGTGGAAGAACCCCAAGAGCATGGTGAACCCCGACAAGGGCCAGAGGTGCATTTGCATGATCAACGTACGTTGAATGTACTAAATCAGAGTAACATCCCACCTCACATCCTTGAACAGCTTGTCCATGACTATGTCAAGGCTGAGAGAGAGAAGGTTGCCATGCAGGTGTCGGTTGAGAGACAACAATATACACAACAACTCCAACAGCAGTACCACACTTCCATTCAACAGCAGCAAGAGGCAATATCGTCGGAAGCCCAGCAACGGGTATCGCAAGTAACTCGGGAAGCCCAGCAAGAGGTGCTCAGACAACAGCAGTTGGCGGAACAGGCCCAAAGGGACCTGATCATCGCTCAAGACTCTGCACAAGCGCATGCGCGAGCAATAGAACAAGCCACACATATGGCTGAGCAAGCAAATAGAGAAGTGCAAAGAGTCCGCGAACAAGCAGCAATGCACATGCAAGCATCGCAACAAGCCACACTGTTGAGCGCAGAGCACACGAGACAACAAGCAGAGAGAGTCATGGCCGAGAAAGATGAGAGGATTGAACAACTCTTGCATGAACTTGATGCTTTGAGGTCCTCCCCAAACGTAGGCAGACTCTTCGACACTGCATCAGAGCTAGGTGGCCGTGCCCCAAGCGTAGCTAGTGCTTCTCCGTTGAACGTTGTATATTGCCCTGTTTGTGGAAACCAAAATGTTTCTGGTCGAGGAAGTTGTTGGAACTGTCGAAACACACTTGATGAACCCAACAATGGCCCGGATTTGTTTGAGCCACCTCCGCATGAACGGCATCTATATCCCTCTCCTGAGCGCCCACCTAGTGTAGCGACCATCAGGGAGAACGCATTGGTATCAAGGCCGATGCTTGCAGGCGGAAGCCCAACGAGGCGTGACGTTCCGTTGCCAAAGGCCCCAGGAGGACCAAGACCGTTACTGATGCCAGTTACGCGTGAGGTGATGGTTGATGGAAACCCTGTTCATCAAATGCATGTTGATCCGAGACTCATCTATGGAGTGACCACCCCAAAGAGTGTCTCAGAAGCTGAGTTCGTTGCCCCGCATGGCTATGATAGCGTCCCAAGACCTGGTGGAGCGGAGTATCACTCCCAAAAGGCGCCAAAGGCCACGCAAGGCCCGGCGTACCCGCCAGGGGGGTTTATTGGCACGATCCACGAGGCTTCATCAAGTCATGCCCCACAGGCCATCTCGATTGCAACGCCACGCAAGAAGGAGTCGAGTGATTCGGAGGCAGGTTCAGAGAGTTCAGGTGATCCTGTCGGTGGCGGCTCGCGATTGCCTGGAGGAGACCCTCCTGAACCATGGTTGCAGGAAGGTGAGACTGAGGACCACATATACAAGATCAAGCATTTGAGGAACATCTCCATCACGAAGTTGCCAACAGATGCAACATCTTGCAGAGAGTGGCGAGCGGCTTTGCTAGCCTCTGTCTCCCGCATCGACCTCACTGCCAGGGACGTCCTTGTCAAGTACACCACCTACTGCATGGATGGCGGTCGCGGCAGGGCGTTTCGTTCGATGTTGCAGGAGGATCAAACGTTTATACCGTTTAACAAACACCTCGCGGCGGAATTGATCAAACAAGACGTGCTGGCGACGAATACTGACCTTGCTCATGAATTATCGTCGTACGTGGAATCTTGCACCGCCATGGCTCAGGGACCGAAAGG